GTTCTGGGTTTTCTTTTTCCCCCCCCCCACTTCCCACATTTTTTCTATATTTTCCTGGGAGTCGGCGATTCATTTTGCCTGTGTGTTTTTCCCCTCCCGAGTAAAGGCCTACGCGGGCTTGTCGGGTCGGCGCTGCACCTGAGAACCCCCCCTGCCACCCACTGGCGGCGGCCGCTGGAGGGGGGTAGCGGGGAGGGAGGTCCAGCGCCGGCACAAGAGGCCCACGCGGGCCTTCGGCAACGTGTGCTGGCGCAGTCTTCTGGCTTATATCCGCTCGCGGTGTCGATATCCGATAGAGGCAGGAAACACTGCACTGGCATGAACCTTCAACGGTCTGCGCGGATTTCGTTGATCTGCGCTGGACCCCCCTCCCTGGCGCGCGGAGCAAGCCAGCGGGCAGCGCCAGAGGCGCCGCCAGGGGAGGGGAGGGGGACAGCGCAGGTCCGAGAAATCCGCGCGGACCGTCGACCGTTGATGTTTGTGCAGCTTTTTGTTCTTCTCCGAGCCGAGAGATCACCCCTACAGAGTTGAATGGCACGGCGCCGTCGCGCTGCTACGGAGCGACGGGGCAGCCTGCGCGCAGCGCCCGCGCCTCGATGATGAAGTCGAGCGCCGCGGAGACCGCGGTCACCTGCGCGAGGTTGCACTGGTCCTCCGTCGCCTTGGGCGAGTCTGGAGGTCCGGGGAGGGCCCGCCGAGTCCACGGCGGCCCGTCCTGGGCGTTTTGTGCCCTTCTTGGCTCCTCCTCCTCCTCCTCCTCCTCCTCCTCCTCCTCCTCCTCCTCCTCCTCCTCCTCCTCCTCCTCCTCCTCCCCCCCTCCCTCCTCCTCCTCCTCCTCCTCCTCCTCCTCCTTCTCGTCGCCGCGACTGGACCCGCCTCGCAAGACGAGGCAGGACGGACCCTGGGAGGGATCCCGGGACCGACTCCGAGTGGACGTGGGCCGGTCAGGAGATCAGCCGTCGTCTCAATGGGCCCTCCTCCGGGGATAGACTTCGGTCGTGGTGGCGTACTCCGCGTTGGTCACGCCCGCGCAGAGCCCGATCGACTTGGGCGACGGGATCGCAATCACGCCCTCCTGCACGACCTGGCGCCAGGACAAAACCACGCTTTTCCTCCCTGGCCTCCTCCTGCGTGAACCACTGCCTCGGGGGCTCTTCGGCCATCCTGCTGGAACCATGGAGGAGGGATCGAAATCTTCCCGCGAGGCGCACCTGGTCGAATACGTCCAGGCCCCATTCGTCCTGGCTGGGGGGGGCGCTGCCAGAGAGAATCCATGCGCAGGGTTTTGTCTCAGGCTCACCTCCTCGTCGATGATCTTGCCGTCCGCGTCCGGCGGCGCGATGTGGGTCACGCCCCGCACCGCGTCGATGATCGCCTTGTGCCATGGCTCCTGCGGGTTGGTCGAGTCCGACACCAAGTAGAAGCCGTCGGGGATGGTACCCGGCTTGTGCTCGACGCCGTCGCGAGCCGCCTTTGCCGGGCGGAACTCGCTCTCGTCTGTGTCGGTCGTCTCGTGCAGGTCGACGTGGCAAGTCCACTGCTCGACGTCGAGCCTCTTCAGCAAGGCGATGAGCGCGGCTGATTCCTCGGTCGCGGCCTCTGGGTTGAACGAGCGCCCTGGCACCACCTCGCCGTCGGGATTGAAAGCGCGATTCGGGTCCACAGCCTGCGGGTTCCACCGCTGGATCGTCTCATAGCCCCACGGACTGACGCACGGCGCCACGAGGATGTTGAACACCTCGCTGTACGTCTCGCCCTTCTCCTGCAGGAACCGGATGGCGCCCTGGACGCCGCTTGTCTCGTAGCCGTGCACCCCACCAGTGACGAGAACGGATGGTTTGCTGGGCGACCAATTCCGGCTCCGCACTGAGAAGAGAGGGTACCGGGCCTCGTCCTGCGAGAGGGCGCCGTACTGCTCCACCGTGAAGCGCTCTTTCAGTCAGGAGGTCGATTTGATGGCAGCGCGGCGTGTGATCAGGACATGATGGGGGAGCCCCTGTGCCCAAGGGGAATCTTTACGACAATCCAACCGAAAAAAACCGAACCTGCAGCGGAACCGACACCTACTGAAACTGGCAGGCCCCATGCTGCCTGGAAAGGCGCTGCGGCGCAGCAACTGCACAGCAGCCGACCGAACCGAAACGACCGAACGCAACCGACCCCGACGCAGCCGAAACGACCGAACCGCTGACAGCCTTTCGGAGCAGGCCGAGCAGAGACAACGACACTGTAAGATCCGGGTCCGAACGCGCAAATTTCCCGAACTGCGTCTGGCCGTGGCGACGAGGGCCCCCCCCCGAAGGCCAAGCATCGCTGTCTCGACTCGCCCTCCTCTGACCCTCGATTGCGCCCTCCCCTCGAATCGGCCCCCTGTCAGCGGCTGGAGTTTTCCCACCACCTCGTCCAAGTAGGAGCGCTGAACCGTGCGGGTCGCCCTCCACTCGGCGCGCTCCCCTGCACCCCAGGGCACGCCCGCCGTGCCGATGGGGAACGGCGCCATCGCCGTGCCAGAAGCCGAGCACGCGGCCGTGAGGCACCCGACAGCTAAGCCCGTGCGCTGGCGCCTGCGCGGCCGCGTGCCTGCGCGCACGCGCACCCAGAACATCCGCCTGCCCCGACGCCAGAGCTCGTCCAAGATCGCCTGGGCCAAACATTGCCACGGGATGGATCATGGCCGCCGCTCCTCCTCCTCCTCCTCCTCCTCCTCCTCCTCCTCCTCCTCCTCCTCCTCCCGAGGAAACGCCGACCATGCAGATGGTCCCGTGGCCAGCAGTTTCCCGAGCGACCGTCCCAATGCATGTCCACCAAAAGGCTGCCATGACAAGGATCTTCACTCCTGGCGGCCCTCGCCGTGCTGCTCGGGGAAGGACACACAAGCCGAGGACGCCGCGCGTGATGCCCCAAGAAGGAGGCGGCCGCGCCGAAGCCAGAGCAGCAGGCACGCCCACCGCGCCCCCCCCCCCCCCTCGGCGCGGTGGGGCCTTGGGAATTTCCCGATGTGGCTGTGGGCCCGTGGCCCAAGGTGGCCCCAGCCTTTCCGTGGGAGGCCCAGGCGGTCTCCAGAGACCCCCCTCACGAGGCAGGGGCTGCAAGAATGGCGTGAAAAGCAGTAGGCATAGGCACCCGGGGCCAGCAGCACCTGTTGCAGCAGCACCTCGAGCGGGGGCCCTCAGGGGCATAACTTCCTGACTGCCCCCCCGAGGCATTGGTGGGGCCTCTCGGTCGTCCTGGGAGCCTCGCCAAGGTGGCTCCTGGGCCTGTGAGGTCTTGCTGCCGTCTTTGGGCGGGGGGGTCATGGTTTAGGTCGGGCAAGGTCCTCCTACAGGTGGACTTTGGAGGGAAAACGAAAAATAGCCCAACAATATGCAAACATAGCCCCCCCCCAAAATGCTCAACAACCCGGACGATTTTTTGACTATGTTTGAACATTCCTCCTGTGGAGGGACACGCCCGACTTAAGTCATGGTGACCTGGGCGGCTGGCAGAGCAGGAGGCTGAGCAGGGACCGACCGTCCCGTCACTCCTATAATCCTACCACGACATGTTCTTAGAACCCCAAAATGTTCTAAGAACAAAATCGATGCTCTTAGAACACCAACCCGAGGTGTGAAAACAAGCCAGTCCCAGCCAGAAATGCTCTGAGAACATCTCGCGGAAACCACGAAAAGGCTCTTAGAACATGTTTTGGTGGGGCCATAGGCACGCCAGGACGCTTCGCCACCGCTTGAGGAGCGGCACTTCGGGCAGCGCCGGAGGCGCCGCCAGGGGCGGGGGCCCCGCCGCCGACCCATGGAGCGCGGACGGGCCTTCGTGAGCGCACGCGCAGCCCGTTGCCCCTCGCGCCCCGCGGGGGCCGTCCTCCTCGTGGCCGCTGGGGGCGCCCCCCGTGCGCGTCTATCGAGGCCGCCTCGGCTCCCTCGCGCGGCGGGCCCGCGGGGGGCCGCCGCGGGGCCGCAGCGCTTCCGGCGCTGCCCCTGTGTGATGCCACCGCCCCGGGGCCGCCGCGGGGCCGTCGGGGCTGCTGTGCGAAGCCGCCAGGCTGGAGCTCCAGTTCATGTGCTGCAGCCATCTAGCGCGCGTTATGCGGCTCCGTTTTTTGTTATAACCTATACACACAATACGTACGTAAGAACATATAAGTATTTCTGTTTTGTTTTTTACTTATGTGGCTGCGTGGGTGGGTGGGTTCGCTGGCACATCACATAATACAGTCGTGCCCGGCCGCCCGAATGTTTTTTTCTGAAAGCACCGTCCCTGATGCTATTTCTGGTGCTGATGTAGCGACATGGCCTCAGCTGCGAGTTGGCTTCTTGGAGGCAGTTTTGGAAGCTCCTGGGAGCCGTTGTGGGCCCCTCTGGGGCATCTTGTTGGGCCTCTTGGGGGCCTTGTGAGGCCTCGTGGGGCCTCTTGGGCACCCTTGGGGGCCTCCAGGGGGCCTCTTGGGGCGGACAACTCGAGTTGTCAATTCGTGTCCCCGTCGTGGGCCTCTCTTGGGGCCGTCTTGGGGCCCTCTTGGGCGCTTCTTGGGCGGTTTTGGAACCCTCTTGGACCGTCTTGGGGCCCTTCTGGGCCGTGCTGGGGCGGTTTTGGGGGCCCTTGGGGCCATCTTGGAGCGTCGGAAGCCCATAACGCGAGAACGCGGAAAAACAATTGAATTATCCGGGCGAAGCACCCAGCCAGATGCAGTTGTGACTACCGCAACTGTGAATGCCTTCTTCGGTGGCGATCCCTATGGGGCCACGAACAGTGCGAAGGGTGTGCCGACATGTGTGGCGGGGTACGCAACACGAGCGGAAACGATAGGCATGATCACGGGGGACTGAGCGCGGGTGAGACTGAGCGCAAGCGCGTCTGATTGTGTGTTGAGTCTGTGTGCGAGTTAAAACTACGTGCATGAATGCGAACATGGATACGCCTAGTGTAAATGTATATGGCTGTGAATACTGGGCGTGGCGGGGGACTAGACTAACGGACCACGAAGCGTGTGAGGGGCGCACTGGGTGTGGCGGACGCATGCGGGCACACCCACGGGGCCACGAAACACTGTACTGGGTGCGGCGGACGCATGCGGGCACCCCCATTGGGGCCTTCGGTGGAGCTCCCTATAAGGCCACGGAGCGCTGTGCTGGGCGTGGCGGGCGCATGTGGCCACCCCCACTCGGGCCTTACGTGGAGCTCCCTTTGGGGCCACGAAACGTTGTACTGGGTGTGGCGGGCGCATGTGGCCACCCCCACTGGGGCCTTCGGTGGAGCTCCCTATGGGGCCGCGAAGCGCTGTACTGGATGTGGCGGACGCATGTGGCCACCCCCCCAGGGCTCCCGGCGGAACTCCCCATGTGGCCACGAAGCGCTGTACTGGGTGTGGCGGACGCATGTGGCCACCCCCACTGGGGCCTTAGGTGGAGGTCCCAAGAAGGCCACGAAGCGCTGTACTGGGTGTGGCGGACGCATGTGGCCACCCCCGCTGGGGCCTTCGGTGGAGCTCCCTATGGGGCCACGAAGCGCTGTACTGGGTGTGGCGGACGCATGTGGCCACCCCCACTGGGGCCTTAGGTAGAGCTCCCTATGGGGCCGCGAAGCGCTGTACTGGATGTGGCGGACGCATGTGGCCACCCCCACTGGGGCCTTAGGTGGAGCTCCCAAGAAGGCCACAAAGCGTGTGAAGGGTGTGCCAACACTATGGCGGCCGCGGGCGCAGGCGCCAGGCGAACGCCTGGGGTCGGGGAGCAGCGTAGCAAAGGAGCGAGCGGCCAAAAGGCCACCCACCGCCACACCGCCGTTCCCCCCGTCAGTGAGCCTGCGCCCTTGGCTGCGCCTCTTTCGGAGGCAGCCCGATCCTGATCCTTTGGACTTTCTCGAGGCGATGCTGCAAGCCTCGAGTGCTGCTGGGAAGCTTGCTCTCTGCCGCTGCCAACCCACGGTCCTTGTCGCCGACTACGCGAGCGTAGCAATGGCACCTGGTGCAAATGCGGTACCTATTCACCGTGACCAGCTGGTGTTCACCGCTGGCCATCCCAAGGACCCCAGTGCCGTCACCACGATACGCTGTACTGGGTGTGGCGGACGCATGTGGCCACCCCCGCTGGGGCCTGGGGTGGAGCTCCCAATGGGGCCACGAAGCGCTGTACTGGGTGTGGCGGACGCATGTGGCCACCCCCACTGGGGCCTGAGGTAGAGCTCCCTATGGGGCCGCGAAGCGCTGTACTGGATGTGGCGGACGCATGTGGCCACCCCACCTTGAGCCTTTGGTGGAGTTCCCTGTGGGGCCACGAAGCGCTGTACTGTGTCGGTGAAACGCAGGGAGGAGGGAGGATTAAACGCAGGGCGGAGGGAGGAGGGTGAGGAGGAAGGAAGGAGACGCGGGGACCGTCTCTTCAAAACGAGGACCCAACACCACAGGATGGTTGGGAAAAACAACGGAACTCACATATTTGTGCCTTTTGGGGCTCTCTTGGGGATCCTCTTCGAACACTCTTGGGGCTGCATCGGGGCCTCTTGGGCCGTCTTGGAGCCATCTTGGGCGTCTTCGAGCACTCTTGAGCTGTCTTGGAGGCCTCTTGGACCCTATTGGGTGCTTTCTGAGGCCCTCTGGCCTCTTCAGGCCGCCTCTGGGAAACGAATCGGGAGGGTATCAAAAACTGTTCCTGGATGGTTGCGGACTGGGCGCCCGCAGGCTGGCGGGGGGTCTATTTATTCGTATTTACATATACATATACCTATACGACCACTCTTCGGGTGAGAAGGAGGCTGTGGAGGGGGGGCAAGAAAGGGGGGGAACCAACATCTGACTCAATCGATCTTACTATCGATCTCACTCAACGGGACACCACGGGACACTTGTCGATCTCACTATCGATCTCACTCAACGGGACACCACGGGACACCACGGGCCACCACGGGACACCACCAGACACCGCGGGACATCTCTCGATCTCACTATCGGTTTCACTATCTCACTATCGACCTCACTCAACGGGACACCATAGGACACCGCGGGACACCACGGGACACCTCAGGACACCACATCGATCTCACTATCGATCTCACTCAACGGGACCCCACGGGACACCACGGGACACCGGCGGGACACCGGCGGGACACCAGCGGGACACCGGCGGGACACCGAGGGCCACCAGCCGCCGGAGGAGAAACAGTTGGTCCAGCCGCGGCCCAGCCACAGGAGGATTTCCTCTCGCCCGCCCTCACAGCTTCGCCTCGCCCGCTCGCACGCACGGCACGCACGACACGAGCCCGAAACCGAAATCGATTTCCCGGTAGGGGGGGTCTCCGTTTCACGTCGGACTCCCCCCCAACCTCCGACATGTACATACACACATACACGTAATTACATATGCATATGAATACTATACATTTATAGATACAGAAACGTATACATGCACATGTACATTTACACATACAGGCACCTATACATTTACATATGCACATACATACACATATACATATGCATGTACATACACATACACATACATCTACATTGAC